CAGCTTGTCTTCGTGGCCCCCACCTCCAGCCCGGACCAGCCTGAGCTGCTGGAATCGCTTTTTAGTCCTAAAATCTCCTAGTCCGAGTCCAGCCTGTGTTGCTGGACTTGCTCTAAAGCAAACAAAAAAGATGAAAGGAACTTCTCAGACAAAAAAAAAAAACAAAAAACTTCTCATGACCCAAGAAATTCAAAAACTACACAAAAGCACATAAAACTACACAAAAGCAAAAAGGAACTTCTTATCAGGAACAAGATGATTCAAAGTACGGACTGAAACAACCAGCTAGATTCTAGTCAATTCAGATTTCTTGGAGAAAGAAGAACACGGTTAATCATGTTGTCCAAAGCCAAGAATGATAACCCATTTGGACCAGTAGCGGCCTCCTCTGCCAACTTCTTCCATTCCATGGCTTTCTTCCTCATCGCTTTGCCCTTCTCTCCCTCCATTAATGTTCTCACAAGGTCCTCTATGTAGTTTCTTTTAACATCATCCTCTATCTCTATGCCTATGCCCCATTCTTTGCAACAGAACCTGCAATTGGTTTGTTGCTCTGCAAAGAAGGGCCAACAGATCATGGGCACTCCACCACACAAACTTTCAAGGGTGGAGTTCCATCCACTGTGTGTCAAGAACCCTCCTACAGCTGGGTGGCTCAGTACTTGTTCTTGAGGGCACCAACTTGCGAATAGACCCCTTTCTTTGGTCTCTTCCAAAAACTCCGGTGGAACCACAGCGGATTCTCCACGAACAAGGTCAGGCCTTAGAACCCATAAAAAGGCCTTGTTGCTATTTGCAAGTCCCCATACAAACTCAATTAGCTGCTCAGCTGTCATGACTGTGATGCTTCCAAAGTTGACATAAACCACAGAATTTGGTTCTTTTGAGTCAAGCCATTCAAGGCACTCTGTTTCTTCTCTCCAAAGATTTGATTCAATCGACTTCAAATTGTTATAATCTGGTGGAATCTGACTAACCTGTAGTTGAAGGGGTCCAATGCAGTAAATAGGTGGTAGGAAAGTCGAAAGTGCATCCAGAACTTCAAGCTCTAAGGCTTCAAATGTGTTGAAAATGATTGCTGAAGCTTTCTGGGCTCGTTCGAACTCTCTCACAAGATATTTCAGCATGATGTCATTTGGATCTGTGGTTCTGACGAAGGTTGGCAAGTCCCTCAAACGAATATGTCTCATGCCTGGTATCCAATCTATTACAGTATCTAAATACCCATTTGTCAAATAGCTGGCATCTGCAAATCAAATAGGTCTAGTGAGTCAAACATTCTAACCAAAAAAGAAAAAAAATGAACAATTTTATTACGTAGTGTCCCCAAATGACCAGTGAGGAATTTGAAGTAAATTCCTCTTTTTTTAAATTGATTATTTTTGAAGATTGAAATATTCTTTTATTAGACAAATGCATACATTGTTAGATTGAATATATAGTATACAAGAGTCAACTTAATTACTATTCAGATTCACATTCTAACAACATAAATATTGTTCAACAAGTGAATGTTTTTGTCAGTATAATAGTACCTTTAAGAGGAATTAAACCCTTTTTCCATCAGAGGGAGATACTGAAGGTAACCCAACGAGCCACAAGCACTCATTGTTTCGAAAAGAACACACGGAATGCCAAATTCTTGGGCTGCATCAAGTGAGAATGTCATGCCCAGAAACTAAGCAAGTAACTGCAGGGGAATGGGGTAAAGAGTTAAGCTTTGATAAAAGGTCTCTGAAGGGTGCTAAGCAATTTTTACTAGTGGAAAGGCATAGGGATGGTATGTCTTGGGTGGCGTTGTCATCAGATGGAGGGAGGCCATCAGGAATGGTCTCGAATTGAAAGGAAGGGAGGCCGTCGAGAGAGTTGGGACCTCGAGATTTAAGGAGGCGTTTGTGGTTGAACTCTGTGTTCACAAAGGTTATATGAAAACCTTTGTAGTGGAGGAGCTTAGCTAATTTCAGCATTGGGGTTATGTGACCTTGAGCTGGGTAGGGTATGCAAACTGCATGTGGCTTCTTTGTTAAGGCAACAGAACTCATTCTCTCGTTTCTCTCAAATCACACACAAAACCTATGGAAAATGGGATATGCTATGGTGAAGAGTACCTGCAGTTTTATAGCAGTGACATACAATGTCAATAATTGATGGTCAATCATGGACCTGGACATGTACATTATTTTCTCTGATCAACTTTGCCTCATTTTTAAATCATGACCATTCCTTTTATTTCTATTTCACACCAATCATGTACAGTTAACGACCAATCACTATGTTCCTCAATCTAGAATGCGAGAAACGTGTGAAACAGAATATGTACAATCACTATATAATATTCCTCACTATGTCCCTTCAAGTAGTGACACTTACCAGAGCAAGTCCAGCGCTAAGGGTTGCCTAGGCAAAAGCCCCCTAGCTTTCCAAAACTGTCCAGGCAAATGTGAGCTATACTCAAGCTTGGGCAAGCCCAAAGGCAAGACTTGCTTGGGCTAGCTAACCTCACGCTGACGTCAACAACCAATTTAAATACTAAAAAAAATAAAAAAAGTAGAATTTTTTTTCTATAAATACCTAGCCATATTCTTCACTTCCCACACCAAAACTCCGTATAAATTCCTCTCCTCATATTTCATATGAATAGTGGTTGCCTTTGAGTTACCATGGCAATAGATGGGAATGCATTAAAAAGAATTGCTAAGGCAATTACCATTCATATGAACAGTAATTGCCCTTGCTTTTTGCTATGACAAATGGGTGAAAGTGCTTTAAGGAGAGCAGAGCCGGCCCTTGGGGAGGGCAACTGGGGCCCGGGCTCGGGGCCCATAATTGAAAGGGGCACAAAAAAAAAATCAAGTTAAGCCATATATTATATACATATAGAACAAAACAAATAAAAAAACAAAAAGTCCTCAAGAAAAAAAATAAAAAATAACCAGGCGTGCATTTTTGTTTAATCCTCCCTTCCCAAAAGCGTGTGCTAACCCATAGATGCTAACAAATATATTGTTTTTTAAGAGTGCTGCTAAACGAACCCTAAAATTAACTAAGTACACCCTACTATCAAAGTATTTTTTGGATTACTAATTTACCCTAATGGTGAGTCAAACATTCTAACCAAAAAAGAAAAAAAATGAACAATTTTATTACGTGGTGTCCCCAAATGACCAGTGAGGAATTTGAAGTAAATTCCTCTTTTTTTAAATTGATTATTTTTGAAGATTGAAATATTCTTTTATTAGACAAATGCATACATTGTTAGATTGAATATATAGTATACAAGAGTCAACTTAATTACTATTCAGATTCACATTCTAACAACATAAATATTGTTCAACAAGTGAATGTTTTTGTCAGTATAATAGTACCTTTAAGAGGAATTAAACCCTTTTCCATCAGAGGGAGATACTGAAGGTAACCCAACGAGCCACAAGCACTCATTGTTTCGAAAAGAACACACGGAATGCCAAATTCTTGGGCTGCATCAAGTGAGAATGTCATGCCACCATCAGAAACTAAGCAAGTAACTGGAGGGGAATGGGGTAAAGAGTTAAGCTTTGATAAAAGGTCTCTGAAGGGTGCTAAGCAATTTTTACTAGTGGAAAGGCATAGGGATGGTATGTCTTGGGTGGCGTTGTCATCAGATGGAGGGAGGCCATCAGGAATGGTCTCGAATTGAAAGGAAGGGAGGCCGTCGAGAGAGTTGGGACCTCGAGATTTAAGGAGGCGTTTGTGGTTGAACTCTGTGTTCACAAAGGTTATATGAAAACCTTTGTAGTTTTTAATCCTATCCCAAAAAACAAAAACAAAACAAAGCCAGACCATACTAGGGTTTAGATTCTTGTTGTCTCAATTTTCTTATATATGTACCTATCATCCCTCACTCACAGTCACACTGCAGCCTCTCTCCTCTCCATAGCCTCTCTCTTTCCCTATCCTTTCCTCTGCATGACAGAAGAAAAAGCCAACAGAGCTGTAAGTCCTTTCTCTTTGTCTATTTATTCTCTATGTTGCTGCTATTTTCCAAATAATCACTTTATATAGGCATTCTTGCAGATTCAAGGTCGCCAATTGAGAACTTTTTTATTTAGAATTGAGATGGGTTTCAGGTGCAGACCCAGATAAGCAACAAAGATGATTTTTCTTGGGTCTTAATCAATTTCTATTTCACACCAATCAAGCACAGTTAACGACCAATCACTATGTTCCTCAATCTAGAATGCGAGAAACGTGTGAAACAGAAAATGTACAATCACTATATAATATTCCTCACTATGTCCCTTCAAGTAGTGACACTTACAAGAGCAAGCCCAGCGCTAAGGGTTGCCTAGGCAAAAGTCCCCTAGCTTTCCAAAACTGTCCAGGCAAATGTGAGCCATACTCAAGCTTGGGCAAGCCCAAAGGCAAGACTTGCCTGGGCTAGCTAACCTCACGCTGATGTCAACAACCAATTTAAATACTAAAAAAATAAAAAAAGTAGAATTTTTTTTCTATAAATACCTAGCCATATTCTTCACTTCCCACACTAAAACTCCATATAAATTCCTCTCCTCATATTTCATATGAATAGTGGTTGCCTTTGAGTTACCATGGCAATGGATGGGAATGCATTAAAAAGAATTGCTAAGGCAAGTACCATTCATATAAACAATAATTGCCCTTACTTTTTGCTATGACGAATGGGTGAAAGTGCTTTAAGGAGAGGGACATTGCACCCAACAAAAACTAGGTCAAAGCATAATAAACATGAATGGGCGAAAGAATCTATGAGAAACCTAGCAGACAATATGAGGCATAGTTGTAAAAACTAAGGATAATATAATAAATTAACAATTTTTCATATTAAAAAAAATTTAAAATCAAAATCAAAGTAAAAACACGTTCCTGTTTTCACGACACACAAAAACCAAACTCATTTTCTCTTTCTTAATTTTAAAGTGAAAAAAAAAAATTGGCAACTAGTGTATCTGCTAAGTAAGATATGAGGAACAGTACGGCTTTTTATAAATTCAGCCAGAGACCTCAGTTGCTTGTTCGGCCTGGTGTCTGTTATGCATTATTAGTTGGGCAAAGGCTTTCTGTCTTTGGGCTTGCCTTGTTGCAGCCTTGGAACTTCTTTTTCTATTTATTTTTCTTTTTCATGCTTAATATATTTTTGTTGTACAGAAAAAAAGAAAAGAAAAAAAAGGTGGTAACAGCACCGATCGAGCTTTCATGAGAAAGTGCCTTGATCTAAGAAATTACGACACATATATTCGTAGTGCAATTATAAGGAGAGCACATGTCATCTTAGCCAACTTGCATATTAATCCAAAAACCTGCCAAGGAACATGGTATGCATGCAGTATCACCACTGGCACCACAGATCTAAAGAATAAGTAGAAAATGAAAATGAATTGAAAGTTTATGATGCAAAAATGGCATATTTACTTTTAGAATAGTTTCATGTGGGAGAAACTAACTACAAATTCCCTATGAATGAACACGATGACATTTTTCCTCAAATTATTATCATCAAACAATAACAAATGGGAAGGCTCATGTTGCAAAACAATGAATGCTATAATTTTAATAAAATTAATTAGTTGATAAAAAATTTATAATTTTAATGTATACATTATTTAGGGCACACTTTAGATTTTTGCCCTGGGCCTCAGATTACCCATGGCCGGCTCTGAAGGAGAGGAACATTGCACCCAACAAAAACTAGGTCAAAGCATAATAAACATGAATGGGCGAAAGAATCTATGAGAAACCTAGCAGACAATATGAGGCATAGTTGTAAAAACTAAGGATAATATAATAAATTAACAATTTTTCATATTAAAAAAAATTTAAAATCAAAATCAAAGTAAAAACACGTTCCTGTTTTCACGACACACAAAAACCAAACTCATTTTCTCTTTCTTAATTTTAAAGTGAAAAAAAAAAATTGGCAACTAGTGTATCTGCTAAGTAAGATATGAGGAACAGTACGGCTTTTTATAAATTCAGCCAGAGACCTCAGTTGCTTGTTCGGCCTGGTGTCTGTTATGCATTATTAGTTGGGCAAAGGCTTTCTGTCTTTGGGCTTGCCTTGTTGCAGCCTTGGAACTTCTTTTTCTATTTATTTTTCTTTTTCATGCTTAATATATTTTTGTTGTACAGAAAAAAAGAAAAGAAAAAAAAGGTGGTAACAGCACCGATCGAGCTTTCATGAGAAAGTGCCTTGATCTAAGAAATTACGACACATATATTCGTAGTGCAATTATAAGGAGAGCACATGTCATCTTAGCCAACTTGCATATTAATCCAAAAACCTGCCAAGGAACATGGTATGCATGCAGTATCACCACTGGCACCACAGATCTCTGATTTCTAATGTCATGCCATGTTTCATTCGGCAGATGGATAGGGCTTTAAAGTACAAATCAGATCTTCCAAATCTCGGCCAAAATTGACCTATTTCATCGCATCAGCTCCCATGAAAATGCCACTCTTTGAGCCATATTAGGCATCCCTTTCTATTTGTCCTGCTAAATATTGAAAAGCCAACATGGAGTGGACCACCTAAGAGCAAACAAATCCTTTAAGGGTCGGTTCATTTGGATGGAGTGATTTCAAATTCCGGGAGTTTGAAGAAATTATAAGGTTAAATTTTTTATTTAGATTATTACAATATATGTATACTAAGATTTGAATAAAAATAAAATGACGAAAACAAATGGATTTCAAATGACTTATTGCACATAAAGTCATTTGAAACTCATTCCAAATGTACTACATTTACGTCTAGTTATCTCAAAAACATTCGATCTAATCTTCTCTTTCTACCACTTCCATCCAAACGGAGCCAGATTTCGGGCCTTTCAAACGCACTACAAAAGGAAGCGTGACACGGAGCCCATTACGTGCAGCAAGTATGG